GTTGCCATTCCATCTCTGTGAATGTATATTCATTTGATGACAACTCAAGCATCCTACTTAAGTATTCTAAACCCTTCAAAAATTTAAGAGTTGCCCAAGTGAACTTCCTGCTCCCTACCCCCATCCATCTCACTCCAACACCCTGCTTTGAGCTAGCATAATCGTCAAGTTCAAGGAGCCATATATGTGTGTGTGTGCTAAGTCACTTCAGTTGTGTCCAACTCTGTGAGACTACAGACTGTAGCCCACCAGGCTCCTCTGTCCATGGCATTCTCCAGGCAGGAATTTTATTATATATATGTAATAAAAACAAATTCCAAAAAAATTCCAAAAACTTAACATATATATGTGGTTTTGATCAATTGCATAGTGGTAATAAAAGTAAATAAAAGTGGTAATAAAAGTAAATCACACCTAAAGAAATTTTAAACATAGGGGGGCTTATTTTCACAGAAACTAAAAATAATCTCAGTCTATAGATATGGTTTTACAGCTGAAAAATATGGAGGATCAATACAAGACTTATAAGCCCCCAAATATATACATTAGAAACAAATTCAGTGAGGGACAATACCATTAAAGTAATGATTTCAAGGGAAAAAGAAGTGACGTACAAATTCCAGCTGCATTTTTCAAGTGGATCTTGGCAGGCATCCAGTCACTTGGGGTTTTGCACCTCACTGGCTACTTTAGGAAGAACTATGCTGTGCTTTATTAAAATGTGGATATTTAGAGCAGCTATTGCTCTATTTGCAACTATTAATACTTGTGATGGGGCTTCCCAGTGGTGCTAGTGGTAAAGAACCTGCCTGCCAATGCAGGAAACTTAAGAGATGCAGGTTCGATCCCTGGGTCAGGAAGAACCTATGAAAGAAGGTATGGCAACCTATTCCAATATTCTTGCCTGGAGAATCCCATGGACAGAGGAGCCTGGTGAGCTACAGTCCATAGGTTTGCACAGAGTTGGACATAGCTGAAGTGACATAGCACAGCACGGTACCATACTTGTGATGAGAAATTTTAGATGTTAGCTTTATAACGTGCAATGTGGGTTCATGGTTTACAAATAATTTTAGGGAGTATGTGAGTCAAAAACTGGGAAGATCAGTGCTCTGAGAAACATTAGGCCTCATTTCTAGGGAAGTATCTGAATGTCTGGGGTGAGGGATGGAGGCAGGGCCAAGGAGCCAGGGAAAGACTCTAGGCTAGGGGCATGAGGCTGGAAAAGCTGACCTGGAGGTAGAGGCTGCTCCTCCTGAGGGAGGCTGGACAGCTGTGGATACTGTTCAATCCAGGAAAAACTGAGGCCACAGCAAGGCAGTGATATTCTGAAGGTCCAGCCCAACAGGCTGGGTCAAAACAGTGTGGGGGGTCTGTCCAGGAGGCAGGTCAACCACAAAGTCCTGTATGTGAGAGGTGACGAGCCTGGGTTCCAAGGAGCCAGCCTCCACTCCCCAGCCTGGGAAGGAGTCTAGCAAAGATGCGAAGACCTCAAGTAAGGACACTCAACTGCAGAAGGTTCTCAACTCAGGGCGGGCTCACCGCTGTAACAGCCACCCCATGATCTCAAAGGTTCAGTCCAGAGCAGGGTTTTTTTGTCCCCCAGGTAACAGTCCAGTGATTCAAAGACTTCAGTCCCTTCCTCCTGGAGTTTGCATCTTCTCGAGGCATCTGCTGGAGCCAGAAGAAGAGAAAGAAGACTGGATGGAGATATTTGTGGGCCAGTTGTGAAGTGATACCTGGCTCACTCCCGCTCATATTCCATGGGCCAGAACCCAGTTGTCTGGACACATGAAGTGCAAGAGGGGCCGGAAGTGTGTCTAGAAGAGAAAGCAATGGGGTTTTGTGGCTGCACTGAGTCCTACTGGGACCCGCAGGACCCGCGGGATCCATGTGGTGTGCAGGCTTCTCTCTAGCTGTGGCTCGGGCTCTAGGGCATGTGGACTCAGAGCTGTGGCGTGTGGGCTTAGCTGCCCTGTGGCATGGGGCATCTTAGTTCCCCAGCCAGGGTTGAACCCATGTTCCCAGGATTGCAAGGCAGATTCTTAACCACTGGATTGCCAGGGAAACCCTGAGAAAGCAATGGGTTTAGTAAGCTGCTGACGTATTTCTCACTCTCGTCATAGACCATGGGGGCCCCAGCCTATCTCTCCATGTGATTAGCAGGAGCTAACAAGGATTGATAAGAGGTATATAGATGGATATACGAATGTAGATGTACAGTGTGGAGACTGGGGCAGGCCTGAAGGCGGAAGCGAATGAAAGACCCTTGAGAGCCACTCATGGCTTCTTATCTCTGTGGGCCTGAGCCTGCCCTCACACTGAAAGGGTCAGCCTTTCAGCACCACTTAGTACATTCATTAAAGCAAAGGTCTCCAGGATCTCAACAATATCAGAGGCAACACAGTTGACTTAAAACTTGGTGATACCTCATGGATTTTACAAGATCTCAGAAACACAGCTAGGCTCATAAAGTGATCACATGCTCTCCCATTTACTCATCCAAAAAAGAGGGATGTCACCAAAACATAGTCAAGTATTTACAAAATAAAAATGCGCCCACTAAAATACACAACGTATAGTCTGACTCCATTGTAGCACATTGCTAGTGAAATCAAATCAAGCAATACTTACTAATAATTGCTATTATTACCACAAAAAGCAAATACTCGTTGAACTCCTGTTATACTCTGGACATTGATCCAAGGGTTTTAAATGCATGTTCTCACTTAATCCTATAACAACCCTATAAGGAGAGTAGTAGTACGTCTGTTTTGCAGATAAAACTCTGGGTGCTTCGGTAAATTTTCTGTGGTCACACAGTAAATAACAGAGGGGGGCATTTAAGTCCAGGTTTTCCTGCCCTGGGCTCACCCTCCTAATCACAGCAATTGCCTTTTGCCTTTGCTGAGGCCCTCGTTTAAGTCACGGAGAAGAGCAGCACAGAACACAAACTCTGGAATCAGACATCCTGTCTGGATTTAAATTCTGCTTACTTCATTTCCCTGAACCTGTTTCTTTACCTGTAAAACAGGAAAAATATTGGTAGCAGTTTCATAGCGTAAGAATTAAGTGAGATGTGACAGGTACAAGGCTTAGGACTCAGTAACTTTTGGCTTTTCCTATTGTGCCAGGCTTTGCAGAATGAAAAGACAGAGAGGGGCCTTTGCACCCAAGTCTTCACTGACTCAAAGCCCAGAGGAGCAGAAGACGCTCACCACTTTCCTCACTTGGGACTTTCTCCTTCAATTGTTCCCTTACCTTTATTACCAAGGGGCCATCTCCCAACCACAGAGGCAAGATTTCCATAATTTCTACCCAGATCCCGGCTAAAGACACCCAAAGAGACTTCTAAGCCAGTGATTTTCAAAGAAGGAATGGAATTGCTGTGCTTTGAAGAGAAAGGGCTCAGGGGCTGATGGTGCATTAATGTTCAAGTATGAGTGGAAAAGCCACCCCCAAGGCAGCATGTGACTGGCTCGGGGACTGAGTGACTGTGTGTGATGGGGGCGTCCAGGCCGCAGGGCTTCTCATCAGTTCCTGCCATCTGAGACTCCAGAGTCTCTCCAGGCGTGGAGAAGCAGTCATTCCACCTAAGACCTGAAGATGCGAAAACATGGAATCACTTACTCAAAGAGAATCTTAAGGTCATTGTGCCTTTTCCTCTGAGGAAGAAGAGATTTAATGGTGAAACAGAGCTAACTCTGAATTGCAACTGCTTAAACTGGAAGGGGCCACCTGGATGGATGTCCCCCAAGCTTGGCCAAAGCTTGGATCTACTAGGGGTGTCGGAATATGAACCACACCCATGCTGGGGTGTCCCCATTTCCCTCCCCACCAGCCATCTGCCCCTTCTTCTGCACAGAACTGTTTTCTGCCTTCTTTGGAGGAACGAATGGTCTGAAATACTGAACTGGAAAAAGTGCTTCAGGCACACATTAGACTCCCCGGGTCCCCATGGCAGTTATTTATTGAGGGAGGAAGATAAGCCAGACTATGCATTTGTTATGTCATTAGTTCTCCCCACAACCCCCAGGGATGGAGGGAAAGTAGAACTTCATCTCACAGAGGAGGAGATTAAAAATGCTCAGTGGCTGTTCAAGGTCACACCCCTGCTAAGTGACAGATCTGAATCACTGGGCTCCTCACTGGAGCCCTCTCTCTTCTGCCAGAGATGCTGAGCTCCTTGGCTGAGGCTGTGGCCCACACGGCAGCAGTGTTCTGAGCTTCCCAGGCGACTCTAACGAGTTGCCTGGGCTGGGAACCACCACACTACATCACCTCTCCTGTAAGTCAGGGATTTTAATTCCATCTTGCATCACAGATTCCTGTGTGGGGTGGGAAGCCACGGATCCCCTCTACAGAAAAATGTTTAAGTACAAAAAGTTGCATGCAATTCCAGGTAATTACAGAAGTTTTGAAGCTTCTACATGGATTCCCCCAAGGTCATGAACTCAGATGAAGGTCAAGTTTGTAAATCTTTGGGCTCCAGTTACTCGGCCACACATGCAAGTTATCTGGGAGCCTTTAAGCAGTTCAGATTTCCAGGCCCTATCCCAGATGTACTGACTCAGAAATCACTGAGTCTGTAAGTCTAGTAATATGTTTCCAGATGATTCTCATACATATGACCAGAAAACAGCCTTTGCATTGGTTTTAGGGAAACACCACTCTAAATGATGCCCATCTAAAGAACCAGGACTCATTTCTGTCACTTCTACCAGCTATGTAACCTCTCCAAGCTTCTATCTTCTCTTCCGTAAATGGAGATAACAACTGTCCCTACCTCATGAGGTTAATGTGGGAGTAAATAAAATATTCCTTGCAAGTGTTTAGCACTGGGTCTGACATGTAAGTACCCAATAAATGTTAATTTCTCACTGATTATATAGTATTATTAATTTATCATCTATGTAATTAGTCTATGTCAATGGCTTCTTGGTGATAGAATTGGGAATAGAATCTGATTTCCAGCAGACTCTCAACAAAAATACATGAAAGACAGGAAACAATTTAAGTTTTATTAAACATTAAGAATAACAGACAAAGTTTTGGACTTAACAGCATAAACAGCAACCAAAACCATGGCGTACAAACACCGACCTCAAGTGAACTTGTACCTGTTTAACAGATGCAGTCTTTGTGGTGTTGCCAAAAGGATAACGGTGACCATTGTTACATTTGGTAAGGTGGTCCACATGAAAGATTTTATGCCTTAACTACTCTCTCTCTCTCTCTCTCTCTCTCTCACACACACACACACACACACACACACACACTCCTCTACATACACTTAGCCCTCAGCAAAATTACTGCCTTTAGTTGCCAAATCCAATGCATCAAGATTAAAGACATGGCTTTGCTCATTTAAAAAATGACATTAATTATAGAGAAAACCTAGAGGAGATCTTAGCCTCCCTAGTGGGGGCCTAGGAGCCCTTAGCTGGAAGCTGGCAGACTGAGAGCAGGTGTCTCCCACCTCTGGAACTGCTCTGATTAACACTAATTAAGTTTTCCTAAAAGGAACTTTAGGAAGAAGGGAGGCAAACTCCTTTGCACTTTACAGAATGACCTTTGTTTTAATTTGGGATGGGGGTAGGGGTGGGAGTGACTCTACTTAAAATTCTTAGCGACGCTTCTGCAAACAGACCCAAGACCTTTCAAACGTACATTTAGAATCATTGCGAGTTCCCTCCCTCACAAAACCAGTAAGTTGGAAGGAACCTTTGGGCTTTTTAGCACTGTTTCCTCTCCACCCAGTGCTAGAATTCCATCTGCATGCTCATCAAGCAAATGGTCCTTCTTCTTCAAATGATGGTTTCACAGCGGCCTGTCATACATGAAGATGAAAGGCCTGTCACTATCCTGCTCACTGTGGGTTTTGGAATGATCAAAAGCATCCACTTTCTCAAGAGGAGGAAGTGATCACTTACAGCCCTCCCATTCCCTACCTATGTCCTCCAGGTGGCACAAGCAGAACTATAGGCTGACCAGTTTTCACCTTTGCAAGTCCAATCGAAAGGATGATGTGACCTTGTCAGGGAGTCCTAGGCCGCTCATTCCAAATCATGTCTATGTGATGTTGGCATAATATGATTTGAATTCATTTTTAATGGCCAAGTAATTAATCTCCAAAAGATGTTTATGATGAAAAGGTGAAAAATGACAACAGGACTCTTTTAATAGCTGCAGTCTGCAGAACTCATCTGACCCTGGATGATCCAAGTCATTCCAAATTGGGCCATGCCTTCTCATGTCATTTAGCAGAACTGCTTTATTTACTAGCTGACTGCCCTGTACAGAAGGCAGTGAGTTCAGGGGTTGAGTGCTTCTGTGTGGTGACAATGACCTACGTATAAGGCACCTATACAGACTCCAAAGCTTTAAAAATTTTTAAAACGAGGTAGGTTTCTGAAACCTCCCCTGGCACGCCAAAGAATAAGTTTTATTATGATCTTTAAATTTCTTCTGCAGAAAACATCTGTGATGCTCATCGGATACAAGCAACCTAATTTCAGAGACTAGTACTCAAATACAGTTTTTTTCAGTTACCATTTTAAACTTCAATGAATTTGGATGGTCTTCAGTACAATCCTTCAATACTTCTCCAGTTAAAAGATTTTACTTGTTTCTGTGCTAGTGACTATTGAACTATTCTGCTGCAATTAGTCTCTTTACCTATAAAAAGACCAACTCCATGTTTACGTGCGTCTCTGAATACCACTAATTCAGTTCTGCTTAAGTTTGCTAGAGGTTTTGTTTATTAGTTATTTACCTGAACGAGGTTATTTCAATTCCAATATGCATCCATCTCCCATCATAATCTGTAGCTTCAGACAAAATGAGATACCTGTAGGAATATTCCACTCTTCAGATTCCCCAAGACTATGACAGTAAGAGAGAAGCATTGCTAACAGATTGACAAGGAGATCACCATTAAAGAATCATTAAAGGTCATTAAAGAATCGCATACTCTGGACACAGGAAACTAGAAAATCCCACTGATAAAAGGGTATTTTAATCTTGCAGAAAATGTTTCTTTGTAACAACAGCAAAATCTCTTAACACAAGTTAGTGAAACAAAAGAACAATCACCTTTAAAGTCAAGACAGCTATCAAATTATAAATCATACACATAGCACCGATATTAACCTTATACTGTGTAAGATGCACGTGCCCATTGAGGAGAACAGAATTTTGGGGGATGCTTGCAGTGATGTTTATTTTCAGGAACTCATAATTTTGAAGTGAACATTTCTGTGGCAGATGCTTTTCCTAAAAATCACTGTATCATCCAATAAATATTTGACTAACATCCATTTTGTGGTTTTGGGTTTTCTTTCTGAGACCTAATAGAAAACAAGAAAACTCCTTAGATATTTTAGAGCAGAATTCGTCACAGCAAGCTTCGATACTGTTGTAAAATTTTAATTTGAAGCAGAAAACATGCTGTGTGTCAGTGACAAAATTAAAATATTCAAGACTTCAAAAACCCCCAAGCACTTCTCTGTACAACATTGATGAATATATATCTTTGCTATATAATTTTAAAACATGGAATAGTTTTCCTTTTCTCTTTCTATATATAATATATGTCTTCCAAAATACATCATCAGTATTTATATCTGAAAAATACTATACAAAAAGAACTTCCTATAATTACTCTGTATAAACATTAAAACAATTTAATAATCTCTCCTTTTGGTCTACAGTAAACACTTAAATTGATTGGATTAACCACAGTTTGTGACAACACCATCCCCTTCGGAGATACACCAGTGTCTTTTACATTCATTTTTCAGAAGTCCACTTAATAAGAGCACATACGTTCAAAAGAAAACAGAGAATAAGAAACGTAAGCTCCAGAATCATTAATTTATGAAGCATTCAAATATGACACCACTAAGAAAAAGGGGTTTTACAAAACATCAACTTATTAACTTAACTGATTTTTAAAAACAAGGTATAATTCACAAAAATATATACATTACCAAAAAAATGGGGAAAACTGAATCTTAAGTAATTGAATTGTATTGAATATCAAGAGGGATGTGGAAAAAGTTAACTAGAAAATTGGGGGCTGGGGGCATGGGAAAAGAGAGAAAACAAAAGCAAACACATCAATGTCAAAAGCTGTTCCAATATGCATTTTTTGGCTGTACACTGATAAGTTAACCCCTTGTTCTTAGACCTGGCGTTTCCCTCTGCTTCCTGGTCCTGGGGATGTTCTGGGCATGCTCAAATACATTACTGTAATTTTTGCTTTTTAAAAGACAGTGAAATTCTCAGGTAGGGAAAATCTCCTACTTCCACTAGTAATACTCAGGCAGCATGCTCTAGCGTACAATAGGATTATTGCTTTAGGTACAGACAGTGCAAAAACACACTCTGTGTTCTATGAGAGTACTCTTACTCGCTTGAGTTGGTGGAATTAAAAGGAAACTTAGAGCAGTAAGTAAATATGGGATCTAGTAAATCTAAACAGCACTTTAAATTTGAAGACGATTATCACCAAAACTTAAAAAGTGAGGAAAGCAACCTATAACTGAACGGAGCTGCAGTGTAGTGCTAAATTACTCTGTGCACCTTATTAGCATGGTAACTTACAGATTAAACAGAAACAAGAGCCTGTGGTCTTGAAAAACCGAGATCTACTATTTCAGCAGGGCTCTTCTTAGTGAACCCGAGCAGAAGGTCCTGGAAGAGTGGGTAGGAGCGCATATGAAGCCACACGGAAAGGACGGGAGTGGGGTGAGGTGGGGGAAGAAGGAAACCCGCGCGGTCTCCTCAGTCCAGTAAAAACATGGCACCTTTCGTTTCAAGATGGCGGGCGCAAAAGGACGCATGCGCACATGCGCGCGTTCGCACACACCCGCTGACCACACAGGCGCACAAACACACACACACACCCCGCTGACCACACAGCAGCACAAGCACATACACTCACACCCCGCTGACCACAAAGGAGCACGAATACACACACACACCTCCCGCTGACCACACAGGAGTACAAGTGCGCGTGCGCGTGCGCGCGCGCACGCGCACACACACACACACACACACACACACATCCCAAAACGTGAGTCCGTCGTGTTGCTGCGTCTGGTAAAGTGCTGATGTCAGAAAGGTCGGTCGCTGTGGTGAAGGCCTGTCCGGGCCGCAGCCGCCCGCCGCCGCCCGCCTACAGGGGCCCGTGCCGGGCCTCGTACTTGGCTAGGATGTTCTTGCACTTGCCCAGCTCCTTGCGCAGGTCGGCCACCTCCTGGCGCAGCGCCGAGTTCTCCTTCTCCAGGAAGGACGCGCGGATGGCGATCTGGTTCTCCTTGAGGCGCCGCGCGTCGCGCGAGCGCTTGGCGGCCATGTTGTTCTTCCGGCGCCGCGCCCAGTACTTGTCGTCCTATCGGGAGACACGCGACGCGTCAGAGCACGGCTGTCCGGGCCTCCCTCCCCGGCCCTCCGTCGGCAGTGTCTCCCGCCCGGCAGAGCATAAGCCCGCCAAGTGGGGTGCAGGCCCTGCACCCCCAAAGGACAGGCCGAATTCCTTCTCTTTGTTCAACCCCTTCCTTCCCTGGGCGCGCGTGCTTTCCGGGATAAGCTGCGGTATTGCTGGAAGGCGACCTGGCAATGTCTGTTAAGGGCTTAACAGCCACCTCACGCCTGGGCTCTCTCCCTAGGGCAGTCCTCACTCGCGCACACAAGGGCGCGTTTTTACTAAAGTGCTGTCCGCAGATGGTGACTGCAGCCATGAAATTAAAAGACGCTTACTCCTTAGAAGGAACGTTATGACCAGCCTAGACAGCATATTAAATAGCAGAGGTATTACTTTGCCAACAAAGTTCCATCTAGTCAAAGCTAGGGCTTCCCTGGTGGCTCAGAGGTTAAAGCGTCTACCTGCAATGCGGGAGAGCCAGGTTCGATCCCTGGGTCGGGAAGATCCCCTGGAGAAGGAAATGGCAACCTACTACAGTATTCTTGCCTGGAGAATCCCATGGAGGAAGGAATCTGGTAGGCTACAGTCTACGGGGTCGCAAAGAGTTGGACAGACTGAGCTACTTCACTTTCACTATGTTTTTTCCAGTGGTCATGTATGGATGTGAGAGTTGGGCCATAAAGAAAGCTGAGTGCCAAAGAATTGATGCTTTTGAACTGTGGTGTTGGAGAAGACTCTTGAGAATCCCTTGGACTGTAAGGAGATCCAACCAGTCCATCCTAAAGGAAATCAGTCCTGAGTGTTCATTGGAAGGACTGATGCTGAAGCTGAAACTCCAATACTTTGGCCACCTGATGTGAAGAGCTGACTCATTTGAAAAGACCCTGATGCTGGGAAAGATTGAGGATAGGCGGATAAGGGGACGACAGAGGATGAGATGGTTGGATGGCATCACAGACTCAATGGACATGGGTTTGGGTAAACTCAGGTAGTTGGTGATGGACAGGGAGGTCTGGCGTGCTGTGATCCATGGGGTCGCCAAGAGTCGGATACGACTGAGCGACTGAACTAAGCTGTCCCTAATAGAAAAAAATGGGCAAACCCCTTCCCTGCCCCCCAGGCCCAGTTATCAGTAGGAGCTTTGATAACTACATCATGATAGAATAACACAACTATTAAACATAATGATCCCACTGAATCTGAAAGATGCTAGAGACATATCACTGTGTAGGTAGAAACAGTGGTAATTTGAAGATCAAAAGGTTCTCATCCCACTTTGTGTTTTTTTATTTTATTTTTTTAAGTAATAGTATATATTCAGAAACAGTATAAATCCAGAAAGATTTATACCCAACTATTAAAAGTGGTGCCTTTGGAAGGGGGATTGAAGGAGGTAGGATCTTTCAGTTTTTATGTACTTCTGAACTATTAGAATATTCTATAATGGCATGTATACTTTGGCAATTAAAAACAAACAATAAAGTTCCACTTGCCACTGATTAATCAGTTCTTATTCATGGCTAGCATTTAAATAATTTATTCTAACTTTTTTTGTTTAACTGTTAAACAATTAACCTTCTTAGCCTAACTGACGTTTGATTGTGGTCAACTTGAAAACAGTCCCTTCTTTCCCCCATCACTGCTCCCTCTGCCAAAAAAAGGAAAACCTTCCTAGAAGCACTAAGAAATGTAAGTCTTCTTCCATTTACCGTGCCACCAGGTGGGTTTTGCAACCCCATTTTTTCAACAAATTGTAATAGTAAACTCCTCAATCCTTGCAATGCTAATCCCTGCAGTTAGTACCACCCAGAATAAGCGAGTGGGTCAGTTCTTACCCTGCCCCAAGATTAAAGGGGCTTTTGGCATTGGAGGAGGTCATGTGGTTTGAAGGCAAGGCTGCAAGCAAGGTGCAAGGTCAGTGGTCTGCCCCATCCTTGCCCTTTAGCCTCAGCCAACACTGCCCAGCAGAGAGGAGGTGTGAGACAAAGTCAGTGCAGGCACCTTCTGTCTGCCTTTCACAAGCTAGTACTGTTCTCTTATTTATAAAGCACTCCCAGCCTACTATACATGTTATAGTAATATATAACAAAGTAAAAACATGATCTTCATAATGGCTTAAGAATTCTTAGGAGGCTATCCTTTGGAAACCTTGGGGTAGGATTTGTTGCTTGCCCTTGGGAAAGGGGCGTGGGGAGCTGGATGAAGAGGAGAGAGGCCAGGCCAGCTGGCTGGAGAGAAATTGGGAGGAGCTAAGACAGCCTAAGACTCCGCAGGGTGAGAGGGCCTATGGCACGTTAACAGTGAAACCTCCAGTTCTGATAATGTCGTCTATGTTAGTAAGCCCCAGATCCACGCCCTTGGTAAATCAGGAAATCTACCACTCTCATCAGTGTTCCCAGATGTGTGGTTTCCAAGATGATTTGAAAGAGGGACTAACTTAGGATGTATCAGAACTTGCATACGGGGGCCAGGGAGTCGGGGTACATGAGAACAAGGCCCCGGGAAACTGAAGAAGCTTTGTTTTCGGGGAGATGGAGAAGGAGTACCACCACAGGCCTGGGAGGTTTGGGATCAGGTCTTAAGGACCAGGGGAGTCACCAGCTGACCTCAGTGTAACAACCGATTTCTGAGTTCTTCTCACTTCTGAGGTACTGTCACTTCCCAGCCTCCTGTGCACATGAGCAGATGAGCGAGCCAAGGAGTGAAATGTGGACGGTCTCAGGTGGGAGGGGAGCTGGGAGCAGGAGTGGGGCAGGGGACACAGGAGGCGGGAGTGATGGAAGGAGGGCTGTCCCCGACAAGAAAACCAGCCTCCCTGGCTTTTGTTACCTCAGAATGGGGGTGGGCTGCAGAAGTACTGATGGGCTGATACATCACTGTGCCCTTTCCCTCTATCTCCCAGGGGTGGATGCCATCTGGCTCCCGAGGTACCACCACCTGGCAAAGCACCCTCAGTCCAGTCCCATCTGCTTGAGGGTCTGTGTCTGATGCCACCTCCACTCGGCAGGCCCCTTCTGACCTATCGGCACTCCCTTTTTCTCACTTGGGGTAGGAACAATGTCAGTAGTGGCTCACCTTCGAATCCCCAGGCCCTGACTTGGCAGACACTAGCATTGGAAACATATTTGTCAAGTGAATGAATGGGTCTTTGAAAGACACCAAGGCGATTAAGCTGATTCTTAGCGAGGAACCAGTATGCCACCCCTTCATCTTCCTGGGTCAGGGGGAGATGCCTGCTAACCCAGATGAATGGCTCCAGAGAGGAACTGCAGGCAGTGAGGGCCGCTCCACTCACTCAGTCTGCTCACCCAGCACTGGAGGCCACGCACGTGGTTCCCGCCTGCCCCAGCTCAGTCCTCCTGCTGCACAAGAAACGTCTTACGGTTCTGCTTCCTGTTTCACCCGTGCTCGTGGTCTGGGGCCTGAGGCTTTGCTCACAGCTGAAGGAATCCAGGGACCGCTGGCAGGAGAATGTTCTTGCCTGTTCCCCACACTGGCACGTGGAAAGGCCACGTCCAGCTATGGCGGTGGTAACGTGTATAATTCCAGCACAGCAATGTTCACGTGGCCTCTCTGTTGCCAGGGATACCTGGGTAATTAAAGCAGCTTGCTCCTTGCTTTAAACTTGTAAATTCAGAGACTGTGCAAGTCTGGCTAGAGGTTTTATCTACTATACAGCAGCACCTCTTCAAACTTGCCTCCACTCAAGAGGAAATCCATGCTGAATGGGCTCCCTGGTTTAGTTTAAGAAGCAAGTTCTAAAGTACACACAGAATTGTGTGACTAACACAAGGTGAGGAAAAGCATCCGTTGAAAGAAGGTACTTAAACTGCCAAGACCTAATCCCATCTTTATCCATTCCATTCCATCTTTGTCTAACCATCAGTTCCCTGACTAGTTCCTATCTTCTGGTGTGTTCACTATGCATTTTCCTCCTTTGAGTCTCAGGATGACAGTTATTGGAGGTCCATGTGGTAGCCCGCATCAGGACCAACATGCCGCAGTGACCTTTCTGGAAGCTAGCTGACTTGGGGACCCGGCTGGGTCTTATCCTAACTGCCAGGGCTCACCTTGGCTTTCCTTTATCTCCATCTCCTCAGTGGTGCAAGGACCACTTTGCCCTAATGCGCCTCTGAGGTCCCTTTCAGCCCAGACACTTTAGGATTCTGCATCACTGCAGGTGACCTCAGGAGCTGGACGACAGCAGTGACAGATTTGCAGGCGTGTTTTCTTCCAGTGCACTTTAGGTCTGAAAAGCAGGCATTACTGGTCTAAAGTGGTTCCAGAATAATGTCCCAAACTCCCTATTTTCCCAACAGGAGTTCTCTTCATGTGAACCATGTTTAGGTTTGAGAAGTTAGAAAAGACCTAATTATGCCTGCTTCCAATGCCTTGAATGTATACAATCACATCTCTATTGTTCATATGATTAGAAAGCAGCATAAACACAGACAATTCTAAGCCATGGCTAATCAAAAATGGTTCTATTTTGGTATCAGTAGGCATGGCATAATTTTAGAAAGAATTCTCTTCCTAAGGTATCATAAATGTGTCAGATTAATTTTGTTTAAGTTGTATCTGATTTCCTAAGGTAAATCTATTTTCCTTTATAAATAATGTGTCCCTTCAACAAAGTAGAGAAAAACCAACCCCAAATTAACCTTTTGTTGAGATACCCAAGTGATCACTGCATGAGATGCAAAGTCCACATTACTTATAAATAGCGTCAGGAAACCCCCCAGCTTCCTTAACAAAGTCCCACCCTGCCATCCAAGGTTGGCAATGTGGAGAGAGGTCCTGTCTCTCGCTATTACTCCCTGAGGCCTACACAGAAATGGCAGCAGTTAATTAGCATTAAACTCCCAAAGGAAAGGTAACCCTTGAAGACTCTGAGGTCTAGGTACCCTTCCCAATAATTTTTTTTTTCCTTTCCAATCTTGAAAGATCCAGATTTGACTTCATTAGGCTTTCTTACAAATAGCAATGGGCTTGCTTCCTTCATGGGCTGCAAAGCACTTCATTTTATTGCTTTTCCTTATTTCTGTGCATTATCAAGACATGAAAGGCACAGTACAGAAGACACCCAGAGAGGAAGCAACCAGTCTTGTCACATGCTGAAAAATGGGGTGGAAAATTACCAGTCTTTGTTTACGAGCTTGTGTGCTTTTCCTGGGCTCACCCTTTCAGTCTGCCTCTTGATCCCCCTCTCTACTTGCCCACAGCCTAGTTATCAGTTCCCGCTTACCTTCAGATCATCCGGGATGAAGACTTTGCGCGCTTTCTTAATCATGGGCTGTGGCTTCAGTTCTTCCTCAGAGAACTTGCGTTTGCGAGGGTCAAACATCTCCTGACCGGGGATGCTGGAGAGGGCGAGGTCGGCCGGGTCCGGCTCATAGCCCACCGGCACCTGGATGGTGTCGGGGTCGATGGGGCTGGGAGTATTGCGGTTGGCAGGCAGCAGCTGGCCTGGAACAACAGGGAGTTTTCGTTGGTGAGCACGCTATGGAAGCCCAGGAGTGGGCTATCGACTGCCGTCTACTTACTTGATGACTCTCAGGATGAAGTGAAAGGTCTTAAGCTTACTTAAATGTGACCCCAACATCCTCTCTGAGGCACAGCAGGCTGAACACTTTACTCGTGTCAGATAGGGGGAAACAAAGACCCACGTACATATATTCACAAGCTAAATTAAAAAATGCACGCGTTCATCCTTTCCTATAACACAATCCTGAAGCACCAACTATGTGGCAAGGTACTCTGCTTTTTTTTACCTTTAAGGTTTCTTCCAAGCGAGTCGGGGAATCAGAATAAAACCAGCCAGTGCGACAGAGTGAAGGGGTGAAAGGAAGGCCCACGTGCTTGCAGAGAGCGGAGGACCAGCACACAGCAAGCTGGGGAGCACTCCGCAGAGAGGAGGCCTCTCTACGCACAGAAATGAGCCGCAGAGGTAATCCGGGGACAGACCCAAGACAGAGGGTCGGGGTTTGAAGGAACCGCAAGCAGTCTTGGGTGGCTCTGTTGGAGCACGAGTCTGAGAGAGGCAGAAGTGCAAGGGATGTCAGGAAGGTGTGCAGTAGGCATGTTCAAGAGGCCTTGAATGACACTGAGGGGTTCTGAGCACGGAAGCGACAAGCGAGCTGAGGTTTGGAAAGACATGCGGGGAGTGAGCGGAAGGGGACAGGACTGGGCACAGGCAGCGAGTCGGCGGACTGCAGCCTAACCCACACGTGCGCTCTGGAAACACCGAACAAGATGGGAAAGACACAGTGGAGATGCTCTAACTTCCCCCTGAGGCATCTGCGCACCAAACCGTCAAAAGGCACAAAGGTCCTCAGAGCAACAAGGTGACTGCGTTCTGCAAAGTGTCTTACTGCGGAACGGGAGCTTGGTAACAGACCGCAGTGTTTATGTGGGGAGCTCTGAATCCTAACTTCTAGCTTCACCTGAATTTTACAGTCACCCCTTTCACGGCAAAGAACACACAGGAGGATGCGCCTCAGCTGGGCCTGGCCCGGGCCCTCCCCTCCCTTCACTGCTGAAGGCCGGATGTCATGTGGAACATCCTGTATGTGATATCAGAACCTACCCTGGGCTGAAGGGCAAAGCCGTTGGCTCGCTTTCTGGCTAAACTGTGAAACCACACTTGTCTGTTTTTCAGAAAGGCCTGGTGGGGAGCTTGCAGAACGAATGTTCTGGGTGACCTTTTGGTCCTCAGTCTGCTTTGAGCTCTCTTTGTATCCTGCTTGCCAGAGAGGAAGGGATGGGCCCCCAGGCCCTGGCAGAGGATGGAGAGTCTCATTAGCCAAGCTCTGCTTGGTTCCAGCTTCTAGTGGCTGCTGAGATCTGCACTGGATGGTGTCAAGCCAGATTTGATCTTGTGCCTCTCAACACTGACTGAGAAAATGAACCGTGTCTGACTCACACTGGTATTTTACTTTCCCTTTAGAACTCTCTTTGAACTTAATAATAAAGCTACCCAATTCCGCACCCCCCCCCACCATACAAACACACACACACACACACACACACACACAAAGGCATAAATACCCTCTCCTACCATCTAATTGCTCAAAGTTACTGCAAGTACTTATGTTGTATTTAAACATTATACTCTATTTCTTTATCCATGTTAAGCTTTACCCACACACACACACACACACACACACACACACACACACACTCCTCCCCTACCGACCACATGGTCTTTTCATCTTTTCTCTATTTTATCCCCACCCACTTCTCCCAGTGTGCCTACTTCAGAGTTCTGCTTCTACAAAGAAAACTGCTCATTTAATGGGGCCCTCAGAAATGCTGGGTGCTGACATTCATTCATGGACATTCTAACAATAACACTTCACATGAGGCAGAATCTTTATCTGCATTCTTTTTCTTCAGCCCTTTCTTCCAGTGGAAGTAGGTCAGCCCTACCTGAAGCATGGAGAAAACCTAACTGGACCGCAGATGAGTCAATGGCTTTCAGTGGCTTCCCAGCATCGCAGAGCACCCAGCAATGGACCTGAGAAACATCCAGCTCTCCCTTCTCCCAAGATACCCTTGCATCATCTTGTTTGTCTATATTTTCTACTGCATTAACTCTGTTGGACACGTCTGTTTCCTCCTTTATTCCTAAATGTCAGTATCCCTGAGTGACAGGGAGGAGGATCTTTATTATTTTATCCTACTTTTTGTGGATTTGCAAAATTTTATTAAGAAGAACTTTCAAGTTAAGAATGAATCATTACATTAATTTTTAAAATTACCATAGATGTTCGTTGCAAAATTTCAACAAATGCAGAAATGTGTCTCCCTGCCCTCAATCCATCTCACTGCTCTTGTGAACTTCTCAATCCTATAGGATTATACTACCCCTAGGTCTTAAATTACTCTTTCTGTATACCAGTATACCATATGCAATTACCCATATTAGTACAAACAGAACTATTCTGTTCTTTTTAAAGGGTGAGTAGTTCCCAAAATTTGGATATATAACAATTTACCTAATCATTTCCCAAGTGATGCATTTTTAGGTATGTGAGTGTTTTTATAGAAGAGATTTCTAAAAGTGAGATTGCTCATACAAAAGGCAAGTATTTTTAAATTTCTAAAAGCATTGCTAAGTCTTATCTATTTTTACTTGCACCAACATTTCTGAGTACATTTCTGTACAAATTAAGTGATAATTTTTAAAATGATGCCAATCTGATTACACAAATATCACTATTGTTTAATTTACATTTCCTTCTTAGTGAGACTGAACAACTCACGTGTTTATTGGGTATTTATTTCTTCTCCTGTATACCACCCTTTATTTTTTGCTCCTTTTTAAGTGGATTTTGTTGCTTATATTTGTAAGCACTCTTTATAGAAAGAATTTTATATCGACTATGGATATAATCATTTCATCTGTGTTTTCTCTGTAGAAAATATTTTCTCCCCGACTATTTGTTTTCTAACTTTGCTTAGAGTTTTGCACTATTGGCGAGATCTTGCACTATAATATAGTAAGTATATATTATATATATATAATATTATATATATAATATAGTATTATTATATAATATAGTAAGTATATATTATATATAGTAATATATAGTAAGTATATATATATAAGTATATATATATAATATATATATAATATAATATCTTAAAATTTTCTTCTTTATGGCTTCTAATTTCATATCTTCTCTATCCCCAAATCATACTATATGCACACATGCATACATGTGTATATATATATATATACCCACACTATATATATGTGTACATATGTGGGTATATATATATACATATACATACTCTATGCCGCTGCTGCTGCTAACTCGCTTCAGTCGTGTCCGACTCTGTGCGACCCCATAGATGGCAGCCCACCAGGCTCCACCATCCCTGGGATTCTCCAGGCAAGAACACTGGAGTGGGTTGCCATTTCCTTCTCCAGTGCATGAAAGTGAAAAGTGAAAGTGAAGTCGCTCAGTCGTGTCCGACTCTTAGCGACCCCATGGACTGCAGCCCACCAGGCTCTTCCGTCCATGGGATTTTCTAGGTAAGAGTATTGGAGTGAGGTGCCATTGCCTTCTCCATATTACTCTATACTTTAATAGAATTATAATTATATTTTAGTATTTTGAGTCACCTATGATTTATTTTTGTATAACATACAAGCAAGGGCCTTTACATAATACTTTCCAAATGGCTAATATAATGGTATTAGCAAGGTTTGATATTTGAAAGGGCAAGTTCTGCCCTCTTTATTGTTCTTTTTAGAAGATTTTCTTCAGTATTCTTATACTCATAGAAATAGGAATTTCAGGATACATTAAATTATATTTTAAATTATTAATGGGATTTTGAATGAAGATTGAATGAAACCATAGGTTAGTATGGGGACAACTGATATCTTTAAAATATTCAATATATCCTTAGTATACTCTCCATTTTTATTATTTCACCTTTTTCTTATATCTATAAGGCCACTTTACTCCCTTATTAGTTCTAATAGCTCTAACAGAGTTTTCAAGGTAAATAATCTTTTCTGTCTCTAGAGATAGTTGTTGCCTCAGTGTTTATAATTCCTACTTAAAAAAAAAAACAACTCACTGCATTGGCTAGGTTCTTCAAAAAAAAAAAAAAAATGAGTAAAAGGGATGAGACTTGAGTCTGTCCCAGACTTTAATGAAAATAACTTTCAATGCCTTACATCCTTAAGGTTTGTGTTAGGCCCGTGGTAGATAACCTTTTGACAAGCTAAAACAGTTCCAACCTTCCCAGCCCTACTGCGCTGACAGTTACTGTTGTTTCTTTTTTAATCAGAAATTACGTATGATAATAAATTTCCTCAAAGGCCTTTTCAGTATCTGTTGAGATGATCACGTGTTTTGTTTTTCTTTTCTGTATTTGTTAAGTCTGAGCTTGGTATTTTTCCAAGGCTTTCTCTAAAGGACCTGGGGTGGACAGGATCAACCCCATGGTGTAGACTCTGCAGTTTGCTGGAACATAGTTTTCTTTTTTCTAAAAGCATCTAAGTGAAAGTCATTTCTAGGAGAGCCAAGGAGGATTTCTGGTGGAAAGGGTGGAACAAAGGGCTTAAAATCTGGATGGAGATTAAAAGTTATCTTCAAACCAAAAATTGGCCTCTGCTTTTGTCACAGAGTAGGTATGCCTAAACCTCCAAATAGCATAATTGAAGATAGGATGTTTCTTATTCTTATATACTTAACAAGAATCTAGCAACCTCTTTGACCCCACACAGTTATAATTTGAGTATGAAACAGCACTTTTGACTGTGTTTGCACCCACTGCTTTCAGAGGAAAACCATCATCAGGGCTCACTTCACTGCAAAACACTCTGCTTCTGAGAATCCTTACGTTGCAGGGAACCAATTAACTTAGGAGCCTCCAGTAACATTGGAGGGTCCATAATGAGTGACCACATTAGGTACAGAGATTAAGTAAAGGCCCCACCAGCACAT